TGAAACAAAAAGCTGATTTTTAGAAAAGTTAAACAAAATTGACAAACCTTTAGCCAGACTAAGAAAGAAAGAAAGAAGATCCAGGTAAATGAAACCAGAGATTAAAAAGGAGACATTACCAGGAGGCTGAGGCAGGAGAATTGCCTGAACCCAGGAGGTGGAGGTTGCGGTGAGCCGAGATCACGCCACTGCACTCCAGCCTGGGTAACAAGAGCAGAACTCCGTCTCAAAAAAAAAAAAAAAAGGAGACATTACAACTGATACTACAGAAATACAAATTATCATTAGTGGCAACTATGAACAACTTTATGCCAATAAGTTAAAAAATCTAGAAGAAATGAAAACAATTCCTAGATACACACAATCTACCAACGTTGAACCAGGAAGAAATCCAAAACCTTAACAGACCAACAACAAATAACAATATAAAAGCCATAATAAAAAGTGTCCAGAAAAAAAAAAAATACTAGGACCCAATAGCTTTGTTGCTGAATTCTACCAAACATTTAAAGAAGAAATAATACCAATTCTACTGAAACTATTACAAAAAATAGAGGAGCGTCTACTTCTAATCTCACTGGGTTCTGTTGGGGGGAAATAGGGGAGGGACAGCAGGTGGGGTGGAGAGTTGGGGAGAGATAGCATGGGGAGAAATGCCAGATATAGGTGATGGGGAAGAAGGCAGCAAATCACACTGCCATGTGTGTACCTATGCAACAATCTTGCATGTTCTTCACATATACCCCCAAACCTAAAATGCAATTAAAAAAATATATATCAAAATAAGACAAAGACGCATCAAAAAAAGAAAACTACAGGCTAATATCTCTGATGAATATTGATGCAAAACTCCTCAACAAAATACTAGCAAACCAAATTCAACAATACGTTAAAAAGATCATTCATCATAACCAAGTAGGATTTATCTCTGAGAGGCAAGGATGATTCAACATCCACAAATCAATCAATCAATGTGATATGTCCTAACAGCAGAATGAAGGAGAAAAAACATATGATCATTTTAATGATATTGGAAATACACATTTTATTCTGCCTATGATGCAGAATAAGCATCTGGTAAAATTTAACATCTCATTTTTTTAATCTTAATGATTTTACCATTAAGATAAAAATGCTTATTAGTTCAACCATTGTGGAAGACAGTGTGGCAATTCCTAAAGGATCTAGAACAAGAAATAACATTTGACCCAGCAATCCCATTAGTGATATATTCCCAAAGGATTATAAATCATTCTACTATAAAGACACATGCACACGTATGTTTACTGCAGCACTGTTCACAATAGCAAAGACTTGAAACCAACCCAAATGCCCATCATTGATAGACTGGATAAAGAAAATGTGGCACATATACACCATGGAATACTACGCAGCCACAAAAAAATGATGAGTTTATGTTCTCTACAGGGACGTGGATGAAGCTGGAAACCATCATTCTCAGCAAACTGACACAGGAGCAGAAACCCAAACGCCACATGTTCTCACTCATAAGTAAGAGTTGAACAATGAGAACATGTGGACACAGGAAGGGAAACATCACACATCAGGGCCTGTAAGCTTGTTAGGGGCTAGGGGAGGGATAGCATTAGGAGAAATACCTAATGTAGATGATAAGTTGATGGGTGCAGCAAATCACCATGGCACATGTATGTCTATATAACAAACCTGCATGTTCTGTACATGTATCCCAGAACTTAAAGTATAATGCTAAAACACACACACACACACACACACACACACACACACACACACACACATCCAGGAAACCCAAGTAAAACCCATTTGCTTGACTTATTATGATCCTACTGGATAGATTCTCATGGGTCTCAATTTTGCCCACTGCTCATTTTAATTGATCTCATTTTAGGGGGTTTTAGGTATGGAGTCCCTAGAATTTGGTGTTAAGTATGGTGATTTTTCAGAGAGGCTGATCACCAGATCTGCATCAGTGATCATTTGACTTTATGTCTGACCCTATGCACAGGTGGCTACTTGTCTTCTAATCTCAGTTTTCCTCCTTTTTTCTTATTAGAAAAGAACACCACCAACACAGTCCCTCTTGGAGCTAGAAATGGCCAATAAAAGGGGTGTGTAAAAATAAAGATTCAAAAAAAAAAATCCTGGGTGTTTAATAAGCTGGGTGTAGAAGAAACATAACTTAACATAATAAAACTATATATAACAGACACACAGTATCATACTGAATGGGAAAAAATTAAAGCCTTTCCTGAAATCTGGAACATGACAAGGATGCCCACTTTCACCACTGTTATTCAGCATAGTACAGGAAGTCCTAGCTAGAGCAATCAGACAAGAGGAAGGAATAAGGAATATCAAAAATTCAGTGAAAGAAGTCAAATTATTCTTGTTAATAGATGATATAATCTTATATTTTGAAAAATCTAAAGACTCCACTGAAAAACTACTAGAACTGATAAACCAGTTCAGTAAAGTTGCAGGATACAAAATCAACATACAAAAAACAATAGCATTTCTATATGCTGACAGTGGACAATCTGAAAAACAAAATAAAAAATAATCCCATTTACAATAGCCACACTTGAATACATAAGAATTAACTTAACCAAACAAGTGAAATATCTTTATAATGAACACTATAAAATACTGATAAAATAAATCGAAGACACTAAAAAATTGAAAGATATTCCATGCTCATGGATTGGGAAAATCAGCATTGTAAAAATCTCCTTACTATCCAAAGCAATCTACAGATTAAATACAATCTCTATAAAAATGCCAATGACATTTTTATAGAAATAGAAAAAAAGGCCCTTACATTTATATAAAACCACAAAAGACCCACAATAGCCACAGCTATTCTAAGCAAAAAGGACAAAACTGAAAGAATTGCATTACCTGACTTCAAATTATACTACAAAGCTATCGTGAGCAAAACAGTATGGCATTGGCATAAAAGGCGACACATCGACCTATGGAAAAAATAGAGAACCCTTAAATAAATCCACATACCTGCAGTGAATTTATTTTCAACAAAGATTCTCCTAATGCTATCCCTCCCCTAGCCCCTAACAAGCTTACAGGCCCTGATGTGTGATGTTTCCCTTCCTGTGTCCACGTGTTCTCATTGTTCAACAAAGATCGATTTACATTAGGGAAATTACTCTCTTCAATAAATGATGCTGGGAAAATTGGATATCTATACGGCAGGAGAATAAAACTAGGCTTCAATCTTTCACCATATACAAAAGCAAATCAAAATGGATTAAAGACAAGTCTAAGACCTCAAACTAAGAAACTACTACAAGAAAACATTGGGGAAACTCTCCAGGACATTAGTCTGGGCAAAGATTTCGTGGGTGATACCCCACAAGCACCAGCAATCAAAGCAGAAGTGGACAAATAGGACCACATCAAGTTAAAAAGCTTCTGTACAGCAAAGGAAGCAATCAAAAAAGTGAAGAGACAACCAACCACAGAATGGAAAAAAGAAATTGCAAATTACCCATCTGACAAGATATTAAGAAAGAGAATTTATATAAAAAGCTAAAACAACTTTATGGGGAAAAGTCTAATAATCCAATCAAAAACAGGCACAAGATTTAAATAGACATTTCTCAAAAGTAGACATCCAAATGGCAAACAGGCATATTAAAAGGTGCTCAGCATCATTGATCATTAGAGAAATGAAAATCAAAACTACAATGAGATATCATCTCACCCCAGTTATAAATCCAAAATACAGGCGATAACAAATGCTGACAAGAATGTGGAGAAAAGGCAACCCTTGTACACTGATGGTGGGAATGTAAATTAGTGCAATCATGATGGAGAACAGTTTGGAGGTTCCTCAATAAGCTAAAAGTAGAGCTACCATATTATTCAGCAATTCCACTGCTGGGTATATACTGAAAGGAAACGAAATCAGTATATCAAAGAGATATCTGCACTCCCATATTTGTTGCAGCATTGTTCACAATAGCTAAGACTTGAAAGCAACCTGAATGTCCATCAACAGATGAACAGAAAATGCAAATGTAGTACATAAACACAATGGAGTACTATTCAGCCATAAAATAAAATGAGATACTGTCATTGCCAATATATGAATGGAACTAGACATCATGATGTTATGTGAAATAAGCCAGGCGCAGAAAGACAAACAGCACATATTCTCATGTATTTGCAGGGTCTAAAGATGAAAACAATTGAATTCATCTACATAGAGACTAGCAGGATAGTGACCAGAGGCTGAGAAGAGTAGTGGGTGGGAAGGAGTAGGGAGATAATGGGGATAGTTAATAAAGACAAGAAAATAGAAGGAGTAAATAAGACCTACTATTTGATAGCCCAACAGGATGACTATAGTCAATAATAACTACACATTTTTAAAAAACTAAAATAGCACACTTGGGTCATTTGTAACACAAAAGATAAATGCTTACGGGGCTGGATGCCCCAGTATCCATGATGTGATTATTGCACATTGCATGCCTGTATCAAAACATCTCATGTACCCCATGAATATATATACCTACTATGTACCATGAAAACTAAAAATAAAAAGATAAATAAATAAGAAGAAAGTTGACAAACTATTGTAAAAGGCAATGAGAAATGTTGTTACATATTTCTAGAGTAATAGTGTTGAAGAATTAGAAAATTGCCTTTGAAAATATGAATATGATGGAAAGAAGTTGAGGGGGATGAAAAAGCAGAACAAAAGGGGGTAGAGTGGGTAAGAATTTTTAGCCACACTGACCAGATGGGTTTTGTTGGAAAACAGGGTGTCTGGAAGGAAAAAGCCACAGCAGGATGCTACCTTCTATGTGGGAGGCTATGAATAAGAACCATCAGGGTTTAATACTGGGAAGGATTGCAGATAAAGAAAAAAGACCAAGAGAGTTAGGAATCCAAAGAGAAACTTTCCAGAGTCAAGGAGGTGCCTGGAAGAAAGAATTGACCATTCGGTGTGTAAAACTCAGTGGACCCTGTTCTAGAGAGTAAAGATAAATGTATTTGGCTTGGTCATGCGATCTGTCCATGTGAAACATGCAGGCTCCTGTAACACTCCTGAGAATGTCTCTAAGGGATCTTTAGAACATTTTGCTTCAATCATCTTCTAGAAAAAATCCAGAAAAAGCCAAATCCCTTAATTTTATCCTGGGCCCTGCAAACCCTCCAAGGAATAAATCAATAGTGCGACCTCCCCGACAGACAGAGGAAGCATGCATGTTTGGGGCTGTGTGCAGAGGAAGCAGATGCTGCAGCAGAGAGTCACTGGCCCAGATGGGTGGGGAGGAGGTTTGTGTGGGAGGAAAGCTGTAATACTGCTGACAGTAATAAAGTCCCACATCTTCAGCCTGCAGGCTATTGATGGTGAGAGTGAAATCTGTCCCAGACCCGCTGCCACTGAATTGGTCAGGGACCTCTGCTGGCCGGCTCGACGCCCATGAGATAAGCAGCTTAGGATCCTGTCCTGGTTTCTGCTGGTACCAGGCTAAGTAGTTCTTATTGTTGAAGTATAAAAGACTCTGGCTGGACTTGCAGTTGACGGTGACCCTCTCGCCCAGAGACACAGCCAGAGAGTCTGGAGACTGGGTCATCACGATGTCCCCATAGGCACCTGTAATCAGTAATGGACAATAATTATACATAAACTTACACATGCTTTCTCATATATAAATGAAACATGTTGTTTAAATATGCTTTCTAATAGTATTATAAGTCAGCACATAATTGCATCATATTGGAAATAGTCATTATTTCCAACTACATCTTAAACTTTTTTATTTCTACCCAGTTATTACTCTGAAAAGACTGGCATTTTTTAATTCCTCACCAGAGAGCCAGAGTACCAGGGGCATGAGGACTTGTGTCTGCGACACCATCTTGCTGCCCCGGCCTGCCTGATGTAGCTCAGTTCACATTGCGAAGGTCCCGTTTATAAAATCCGGACAGCTGGTCATGGCCTGGATGGGCCTATGCAAAAACAGTCAGTGAGTACAAAAGCAAATTTCATGAGCAGTGGGTTGTGAAAGAATCCAATGTAAATCAAGGACCAAAAATATCATCACAGAATATGCAATTGTATGACTAGGAAAGACAAAAGCTAACTTAAAGGTTCTAAAACCGCAAACTGCTTGATGATCTAATGACTAGGACTGCCTAGTAATTTTCATCAGGGACATCAATGTGAAATGCCTTGTGCATTGTAACAGAAAGCAGAAGAAAAAGCGTTCCCAATTTCTTAACTGGCTTTTACCTATATATTGGCTTTTACCTGTGTTAATCAATCATAATAAACAAATTCTCAATAAATTTTATTGATATTCTTCAATACCTCCTCAGCAACATTTTCTGAAAGGGAGCTCAAGCTATTCAATAACTCATAAAAGCCAACCTCCTATCGAAACATTCTTCGGGATTTAACCAGATTCCCAAAATGTTTTCACAAAATTGAGATGTTAGAAATAGATCCGAAAATAGGTAACATACCCCCAAGTAAAATTTAAACATTTCTCTTTCTTTTTTCTTTTCTTTTTTTTTCTTTTTGAGACGGAGTTTCACTCTTGTTACCCAGGCTGGAGTGCAATGGCGCTATCTCGGCTCACCGCAACCTCCGCCTCCTGGGTTCAGGCAATTCTCCTGCCTCAGCCTCCTGAGTAGCTGGGATTACAGGCACGCGCCACCATGCCCAGCTAATTTTTTATATTTTTAGTAGAGACGGAGTTTCACCATGTTGACCAGGGTGGTCTCGATCTCTTGACCTCGTGATCCACCCGCCTCGGCCTCCCAAAGTGCTGGGATTACAGGCTTGAGCCACCGCGCCCGGCCTCATTTCTCTTTCTTGATCCTTCATTGTATGTATACATTGGATACATATTGTATGTATACAATGAATTAGGGGAAAACTTTCATTGAGTGAATCATAATGTTCTGATTATTATAATGGGAGCTTCCCACACAAAAAAAATAAATTTTGTTACTCTTAGTCTCAGTTCTTAAAACCAAGTTAAATTCCCATTCTAAGATCGCAGTCGCATGAGCATATGTATTCCAGGTCTAATCTAAACTGTGGATAAATTCCAGCAGGACATTAGATATTTTTGTGAGAATAAGCATATAGGATTCGGGGTTTATGAGCTTTAGATTTTTCTTGTCAAAATAAATGAGAGTTTCCATATCTAAACGTTATACGCAAATAAATAAAATTCACTACCTAGAATTAATTTCTGTATGTAAGTAGAAATGTTATCTTCCTTTTTACCATCCAAAGTGGAAAGCCTCATGGCACTAGAAATTAATCTTAGAAAAATCAGTTAATAAAGGTATGTCATTTCACCAATTCAAAAAGTTATAATAACAAAAACAATAATAAATTACTACTGAAATGTCAATAAATTTATAAACTATGGTATATAAATATAATAGAATATAATAGAATAAATATAATAGAATATTGAATAGCCATTGATGCTCTGATGAATATTATTAGGCAGTGATAAATGATAAATATGAAGTATATGTCAATATATAAAATAGGTTTTATGTGATTTAGGAGAAAATGGTGATAACGATACAAAATGTGAATTATGGATGCATCTATAAAATTCTTTATACATTTTTGAATTGTAAATATTTATGTTAGAGACATTATTACTTTCTATATGCTTCACTTGCTCACCTATATATCCTAGTCTCCTTACAGATGTAATCAGTTATGGCCAATGAAATAGGCATGTAAGTAACATAAATCCCTTGCAGGCTGAGGCAGGAAAAAGATCATATGCATTTTTCCAGTCTATCCTTTATCTACAGCAGCAACTGAAAAAGCCATGTGCTCCAAATGGTGCAAATACAAGATGGTGGAGCCTCTGTCTGCCTGGATCCTTGAATGACTGCATGGAACAGAGCACCTTTCTGGCCCTTGTGAAGAATGTAGCATGAACAAGACATAGGCAAGACATGAGATTTGGGGCAATGGTATAACCTATTTTATTATGGATAATATAAATACACAAAAGAGAGAACCGAGAGAGAAGTGAGAGAAGACTGTGTTTTGTTCATTTCCTGTAATCCTATACCACCATGGGATCCTGTGCCTTCTGGTGATCACAATAATGTTCTACAGCTCCAAAGAAGAATGCTCACCTAACTTCCTCATTCCAATGACTTAGAGACTAAAAGCCAAAAAGAACTTTGGAAATTATCTATTGCATGCTTTGATGTGAGAAAATATCTTAGAGGGCACAGATAGAAATGTCTTAACACTTACTTAGTTCGTGACAGAGCTGCGGCTAAAATCAGGTCTTTAGACTCCTAATTTTGTGCCTTTTCCACCTTATCACATCACTTCTCCAACCCAAAGTCTAGCAGAAAAGGCTGTAATAAGATGCATGCATAAATTTGCTATTATAAATGAGTGTATTTCATTAGATACTTTAAGATGGAGCTTCTCATGGTTCACAGTAAAGTGAATAACTATCTTTATCTCCCTCACTGCTATTTGTGCCGTTTGAAGATTATCTTTTAAATCATGTTTTCTTCTCATAGCAAATATTACAACTTGTGCCTTTTATGTGTGCAGAAATTTTGATATAAATTTTTTTCATGAAACATTCAAGTAATATGGACACAACAAAAATAAGGTTACATGGCTTCACATTGCCCCTGTTACGCCATCTTGTGGAGCTACAGATTCACCTCGCTCAAATTTGAGAAAAGTAATAAAGAAAATGACTCGCACTAGCAGTGAGACCGTAATCCATTAGCAGTGATGACATCAGCACATACTGCAGCGTCAAGCGACAGAGCATGTTTTGGGCATGTCCCTGGACTAGTTTAGTGACATGATCAAGGGTACATTTTCCACCTGCATAGCCCCATCCTGGCTCTACAGCCTTCCTTGTGTCTTTGTGAACAACTAGCGTGAACTCAAAAGTATCTGAGACAGATCTCGACTAATGTAGAAAGTTATTTTCCCAAGGTTAAGGACATGCCCGTGATAAAGCCTCCAGAAGTCCTGGCAATGTCTGCCCAAGGTGATCGAGGCCCAGTTTGGTTTTATACATTTTAGGGAGACAGAGACATTAATCAATATGTGTAAGATGTACATTGCCTCGGTCTGGAAGGGCATGACAGCTCGAGGCAGCGAGGGGGGCTTCCAGGTGGGGTTGTATTATTTTGAGTCTCTGATCAGCCTTTCACTGAATATATAATTTACATGTGAAAGGAGGGTAGAGAAATAGCCATTTATGCCTTAGCAGGGTTTATTGACATAGTAGAGGAGAAGAAGCAACCAGATATGCATTTATCTGAAGTAAACAGAGGGATGACTTTGAGATCTGTCCTTTCTTTGTCGGTAAGGAATCCCCTCGCAGGCAAATTGTGAGGGGGTATGTAGCTTTTTTATCTTTGTAGCTATCTTATTTGTGAATAAAATGCGAGGCAGGTTTGCCTGATGCAGTTCCCAGCTTGACTTTCCCTTTTGACTTAGTGATTTTGGGGTCCTGAGAATTATTTTCCTTTCACATTAGTGTAACCACTTTTCTTTTTCTAATTCCTTTTCTATGTGTGTGTATTACGGCTGACTTATGCTACTTGCAAAAAGAAACCTGTGACTAACGCACCATCAGACTAGAAGGCAGGGTTCTTCTATGATACGAATTCTCCAGAATCTAGTAAACGGAATTGCCCGAAAAAGAGGTGGGTGTCTTCCTGGGGAATTTCTCATGGCAACGGATGGAAACTGGTCAAAAGATTTATAGCCAGACTGAGCTCTCTTTTATCCATTCTGTTACCCACCAAGACCTGTTAGGGTTTGTGCTCCACAGGGACCCTTGTTTTTAAGTTCTAGGCTTAAACACAGTTCCCAGGCCCACCACACCACACCCTCCTGCATCTGGTAAACGGCAATAAAATTGTTTCTTTCAATATTTCCACCATCAATATTTCCACCATCCCCAAAAAGGCAGTGGAGGAAGGGAGAAAAAGAAGGATTCCATTAGAGGACACAGTATCTATTACATTATTCTTTGCCTTTAAGATATATTACAAAACAAATACCCCCAAAAAGTCCCAATTTAACATCCTTTAACAATCTTTACAGACCAGAACACACCTCCTTTCTCGATAACAGTCAAGAGGCCCAGTGGCAGCTGTGGTAAAAAGTGTCAGATTCTGGTCGTGTTTCAATGTAGAAAAAATAGAATTTATTAACATATTGGATGTGAGGCGTGGGAGAAATGTGAAATCGAGGGTGATTGCAAGTGTTTGAACCTGAGCAACTAGAGAATTCAGAAAGACATTTTCTGAGGTGAGGAAAGCAGGCGGGAATCAGGACGCAGAGCTGGGCATATTAGATTTTTGAGACGCCCGCTAGACCTCTAATTGGCAATATCCCGTGGGCAGACGGATCCACGTGTGTGATTCTGGAGTTCAGGGAAATCGTCTGGGCTAGAGATTCAAATGTGGGAAGCAGGGCGAGGTCACTAGGCAATGAGTTAAATCAATGAAAGCAGACTGGGCCCTGGCAGGTAACCCAACAGGTAGAGGTCGAAGAGATGAGATGAGACCAGCACAGGAGACTGAGAAGGAGTGGTCAGGGAGGGAGGAGTTGAACCAAGTAAGGGATGTCCCAGAGCCAACACAATAAGAATTTCTTTTCCATTTACAAATGCAAAATTAAAATGTTTAATAAAAAGAAAATTTACTTTTAGCGTTGGTCGTTATTAAGTGGTTCAAACACTGTCTCATTTGTAGGATCAAAACTACCATGGCAGTAGAAAATTGGAAATGTTACTCCTTAAAGGGGTAGGCACTGCTGCCCTCTGCTGGTCACGTTTATGCACTGCAAATTCCAAGGACGATTGCTCTAGGCAGCTTTCCTCCTTTAAAATAACTCACAC